TTAAAAATGTAAGGTTTACCTGCGAGTATCAGCTCCTGATCAGTTCGTCAGCATAATAATTATCAACCATGATGATTCTCTGATCGATCCGCTTGAGCAGTTGTATTTAAATGAGAACGTGACTCTTCCCTGTATTTTGTCCGATCAGTGGGTTGACAAAATTCTGAAGGTTATTCTACAAGGAGAAGGTCAATTAGGCGCCGCACCACATAACCGTTGACTATTTTCAGTAGGTAATACGGAAATGCCTTGGTTAGTTAAGAAAAAGCGCAAGATCATGATGATGCCTGGGTCCGAGTGTCTCGGTCGAGGTTAATTTATTCATACTGTGTAGGTGTACGAGGGGTTATTAGGGTTAGGGTTAAGATTACCGTTGGTGTACGAGGGGGTTATTAGGGTTAGGGTTAAAACTCGTGTAGGTGTACGAGAGGTTATTAGGGTGTAACGGTACAAAAAGTACAATGGTAACAGAAGAATCCAAGATGGCGGCGAGATTAACTCCAACATTTGCATATGGTTTATTTATTCACACAGCACGATATTTGAGTTGCAAATAGGTGACATAAGCTAGAAAAGCTGTCATCATGTCTCTGTACAATTGATGGAAAGTAGATTGTTCTCCCACGTTGGAATCATAGGTTTCAATCTCGTCAATGTATTTAGTCACTTGTCTGCGTATTTCACAAAGATCTTGCGTGGTAGCTTTTTCTTTTACTATGGCAAATAATTCGTCTAGGACGGCTCCGGCCCACTGGGGATTCTGTTCAATCTCTTCATCCAAATGTGCTAGGAACAGTTGTTTTTCAGATGAAATGGTGTTTGAAATGATTGTAAAATGTAAGATCATTTTATACGTAAATGTGTTTGAACGTAAATGTCACTCTGATTGACAAGCTGTCATAAAACATAGCGTATATATATTTATCGTTTCGTACTCACTTGCTTCAGAGTAGCTATGCCTTCCTTTGAAGACTTTACATGTGAATGCGGTCAATGCGATACTTGATTGACGAGAGAGAGAAAAGAGCGTGGCACAGTGTAGAAATTAGAAGATTGAGAAAAGTATATATGCCAAAGGGGATACAAAAAATTATCGAGAAGATTGCTTTACTTAAATTGGATGATGCCTAAACTTGTGAGTTGGAGTGAAGGGATCGCTTATAAACCTTCAGAAATATGGTATCAATGTATATCTTGTTAGTATTATACGCATTACTATTGGAGCCTAAACCCTATGATGGGATGTAAATAATTCATCCTACTCCAATAAAATGAAAATAGTTCGGATGGTGATCACTCAGTTAATGAGTATTCAAAATTCTCTGAAAATGAACAATGGTCCGTTCGAGGTATAAACAGGCAATCGATAGGTTTTTTCTTAATAAAAATATTTACTTTAGTTCAAATCTTAATTAAAAATAAACTGTAACGTGTGAGTGTGATCACTAGCAGTAATGAAAGTGTTTTAAATTCTATACAAAATTCCGCAATTGAGGAAAATAACAACGATACATCGACGCAATTCAATGACAATGATTCGAAGAGAAATAATTAAATCTCCTGTTGAAAAAAAGTCAGAAAAAATCGAACGAAAAGGGTATTCAAAAACGCAGCACCATGCTCACGAACATTCCCATTTCTCGGGAAAAATGAACCATAGATGGCGGCATACAAACCGGGGGAAAATACGAAATGCCAGCAGGCGTTTTAACTGTCTCATGATTATTTGACCATCAAATGTTAATCAAGTCATAGCATCCTTACATTTTTTCGGATCAAAGTCAATGACCAATTTTTTTCCGATTTATGACGTGTGTCAATCAATGATAGATCAATAGAAATCTAGTAATGGGTGTATGAGAGTGGCTATGAGTCGGAATGATATGATCATACATGGGACCAAAGTGATAATGAAGAAAGTTCGATTTCATCCAATCAGACAAGTGGTGTATCTTACTGAAATTCATCCCTACATAGAAGTCGAAGAGAAGATAAATACAATCAAACCGTTCCTGGATACTCCGTTTAAACACAAAATAAAAGCGGTAAGAGATAGGCAACATAGCAAGTACCTATATACAAGCACGTTTTACACAATACCTCGACATCTATATGTGATAAAGCGATTGGAAGAATTACAAAGAGCATAATCCAAAGACGACTTATTTAGTTCATATGATATGGCCTTGCTTTCCATGTGACCAAACATGACTAAAACGTGGAAATATTGCCATGGTCGGTACGCGACCGCATTCCGGACGCGCGCGCAGGAGCGGGAAAGAGGAAGAGAAGGAAAGAGTGTACATAGAATGATCTAGTATCACTGTAATAAACTGCTTTAAAATTTCACATTTGTTAGAGGTAATGTCTTACCGCGAGTGTATATGAGTCCCACGAACTGAGTAAAGTTGAGGAATAAAATGACTAGAACGAGTGAGTCCATGTGAAGAATAAATTATATTACTTGAAGAAAGAGGAGGGGAGGAAGAGGAATGAGGAGGAGGAGGAATGAGGAGGAGGAATGAGGAGGAGGAATGAGGAGGAGGAAAGAGGAGGAGGAATGAAAAAGAGGAAAGAGGAGGAGGATGAGGAATGAGGAGGATGAGGAATGAGGAGGATGAGGAATGAGGAGAAGGTGGATGAGGAAAGAGACATGATGTACAGAGACATGATGACAGCTTTTCTAGCTTATGTCACCTATTTACAACTCAAAGATCGTGCTGTGTGAATAAATAAACCATATGCAAATGTTGGAGTTAATCTCGCCGCCATCTTGGATTCTTCTGTTACCATTGTACTTTTTGTACCGTTACTTTTTAAAAACCCTACTCACGAACCTACGCGAAATCTAACCCTAACCCTAATAACCCCTCGTACACCTACACGAGTTTTAACCCTAACCCTAATAACCCCCTCGTACACCAACGGTAATCTTAACCCTAACCCTAATAACCCCTCGTACACCTACACAGTATGAATAAATTAACCTCGACCGAGACACTCGGACCCAGGCATCATCATGATCTTGCGCTTTTTCTTAACTAACCAAGGCATTTCCGTATTACCTACTGAAAATAGTCAACGGTTATGTGGTGCGGCGCCTAATTGACCTTCTCCTTGTAGAATAACCTTCAGAATTTTGTCAACCCACTGATCGGACAAAATACAGGGAAGAGTCACGTTCTCATTTAAATACAACTGCTCAAGCGGATCGATCAGAGAATCATCATAGTTGATAATTATTATGCTGACGAACTGATCAGGGGCTGATACTCGTAGGTAAACCTTACATTTTTAATATGCAAGAAAAAGGAAGAAAAAAAAACAATCATCTAAGAGTGGGTAGCATGTCTGTACGAGAAACACATTACGAGGCTTAAGTACACATTCACGGTGAACGTTATCGATTTTTTAATATGAATTCAGTCGACAGGCTACTCTACTAATTGGTGGTTTGCAACCAATCTCTAGAGACACAGGTAACAATGGTGAAAGGAACAAATGCTGGTGGACGAACAAACGAAGCTAATGAGATATTCATTGTTTACGTCCACCAACATGGCGGCTATGACGTAACGTGCAAACCACCTATTGAGCTAACAAGCCAACTGGGAGCAGGCCGTTAAGTTGATTCGTAATAAACCCGTGATGATAAATCAGATACAATGGATATATGAAGTTCATATATTTTGCACTAGTATCGCAGAGGTCAGTGGTTCGAATCCCGTACAGGCCTGATTTTTTTCAGGCCTGATTTTTGCTATTGCATCAATAGCGCTATCTACTGCGAAGAATCGTGCATCATACGTATTTAATACCGCAGTTCAAAATATATGAACTTCATATATCCATTGTGTCAAAGATATAATTTCTAATTTTTTATTTTTATTCTTTTTGTTTTTGTAGTGAAATAGGTCTTTTATCAGCTTGTTGCTAAATGTTTGTTTGTTTCGCTCAATAGTCTATTACCCCTCCCCCCACAGGGTATCACCCTAATAATCCACTAATAGACTATATGGGTTAAGCTGAGTCTCTGAGATATTACGTTACTTCATGTTTTACGAGAAACATGTCATTAGTTATTAAAAATTTACATAAAAATTCAAGAAATTCGAACTTTTGACAGCACGCGCGCTCATTTTGCAATTTGCAGTGCTGTTCCGACTAAGAATTCGTTTTACATGAAAAAGGCACTCGTTTGTAGCCAATCAGAAGCGCGTAATTTTTTCATGTGTATTATTACACTATGAATTCCACTAAATGTGTGTATACAGTCGAACCTCGATTATCCGGACCTCGATTATCCGGACTTTTTTCTCTGGTCTCAATTTTTCATGAATATTAATTCGTTGTGACCTTGAAAACTTAGAGTCGCAAAAAGCCCACTAACCCTTTCAAAAGACTGTTAAAACAGCGTATTGTCCTGTGCGCTTTTTAAAATTCGCAAGTGCGACGAGACAAAGAAATATTCTGATCCGTTATTTGTTAATACATTCAGGCTGTGTAGCTATCACAGTTAAAATTATGTTTTCTTTGCTGTATACCTTTTGTTTCCATTTCTATCTTATTAATATTCATATTTTCGATTATCCGGACTATTTACCACACTGAAGCAAAAATTATTAGTTTATTCTGTCAGTATACCGAAAATTAATCAGATATTGAACTCTCGACGCGCGATTTTGCCTTATCTGCTGCTCGAAGGTGAATAGCACTTGTTAATCACTTTTCAACCAACCAATCAGTGCGTGCAAGAAGCTCTATTTACCTGTGTGGTATATTGAGACCTAGATTACAGTTCCACTCCGCGAGGCCGACTTGTAACTAATGAGATCATAATTTTAACCCGTGTTTGTGTTTCTAACTACCTGAAAGGTTTGAATACAACAGCGAATGGTTGACATAAAACAGGATAATCTTCATGAAGAACTAACAAACTTCAAATTAAAATCAAAATGTTACAGCTTCACTTTCTCTTTGTGAAACTTCTCCAAGTTCCATCAGCAATGAATTCCATAAACATTCCGAAATATATTTCGAAGTATGTCTACTATAGTGTGTCGAATGTGTTCCATGCTTAAGCAGTATATAACAGGATTAACAGAAGAATTTGCAAACACAAGAGTAAAAGTGAACAAATCCAAACCTTCTAAAAACATGTTTGGCTCACTCCGTAACACATTCAGGATGGCATTACAATAGTCTGGAAAGTAACACATCATAAATACCACATACACATAGAATGTGCTAATAGCAGATTTCTTCAGCCTCGAGAAATAAAGGTACATTTCGCCATTTTGATTCTGACCAGCTTGCCCTAGGTGCAGAGCTCGCATTTGGATTTCAAGGCGTCGTACAGTGCCATAAATTCTGACATAAAAAAGTGTGACACTAACAAAACAGCAAGTGAAGATGGTAATTTCCAATAAGTCAATTACAAAGTCAACCATTGATTTGGATTCACCCTTGAGTTCACGCATGAGTTTTTCTCGTGACGCTCTTTGTTATCCGAACGCGTGAATGCTCTATTGCAGTAGTGGCAAAGGTGTGGCATTATCCGATCAGAAGTTTATCAAGGTAACACGACTCCCATTTCGTGTCACAGTGATACTAATGAAAAATGTAAGATTCTCTGCTTTTTATTTATTATTGTCTCACCACTTTCCCTAACATATCACCGCCTCATACACCATTAACACCCTTTTCACCCGTGTGTAAGATATCTTTGTTCTCGCTAGATTTTGAGAATGTGTCTAACTTGGCACAGAGTTGATCGTATTTTTTTCTGTAATTCAATCAATTCAGTTTTCACCTATGTGTGGTGATATATCTTGGGTGTCTTTTCTTTCCTGCCTTCCAGTACTTGTCGCTCACTTTTTCGCTGTTGTAGCAAGGATTAATATTGTTCTTTGTGTGCAGCAAGATTCTTTTCAATCTCTTGAATCGCTTGATCTAAGACCATACATTCTACTTGATGGTACGCTTCATTGACACGTTTCTGAGTTTCAGGACTTTGCATCTTAAGGTAAAGTTTCATTGATTTCAATCTTTTGGGGAACGTTCCATTCTCAGCATGTTTTTTTAAATTCCTTCAACACATTTTCCTGATACTTAACGCAAGCATGAACAGCATGCATTTGTTGCCGATACGACTTTAGAACCGCGGAAAGATCCTGAGTACTCGCCATCGTCCGCACTCTGCGTGAGCAGGTAAGAAATGAATGTGGAGGTAGACACTTCGAGTTTTATCATATTGCATACATCCTTCTCCGTTATGTCTAACAAACCTTAAAAGAACGCGTACTTTGAAATATTAATTATAATAATTCAAAGTGCGCGCTCATATAGAACCAAATGTTTATTTTTCTTATATGCGAAACGGAACTGTCCATCTCGTTCATGTGGGTTCGTATATTTTCTATTCTTCTTCCTCCTCCTTCTCTTCTTCCTTCTCTTTCCTCCTCCTCATTCCTCCTCCTCCCTCCTCCTCCTCCTCCTCCTCTTTCCTCCTCCTCCTCCTC